GCGGCAGCTGCAAAAACCAGGGCACTAGACATAGAGACTGAGGTACCAGATGCATATAGAAGCTCCCCTCCAAGAGATCCTGGTGCTTTGGAGCATGGCCAGAGGAGAATGTGCCTCCCCTCCAAGGTCTCTGGAAAGGATTGCAATTAGCCTTAGATGTGTGTTTAATTAGAAGCCTGCCCCTCAGGCTGCAATTATGATGATAAGCTAATAGGCCACTTTCCCTGAAAGACTAAGCTCCTGCTCTGTTGCCTCTTCTTGTGCCCTGGGGGTGGTAGCTGTTTATTAACTCTTTCCTTATTGCTTACAGTCCTGTGGGACCCATGGACATAAGCCTCACTGGCACCAGAGCCAGGTGATGTAGAGGTGTCCCCTAGTGGCAGCTGCAAAAATCAGGGCACCAGACAAGAGTATAAGCTCCTTTCTGGGAGATACCAGAAAGCTGGAGCAAGGCAGTGGGAGGGTGCAAATATTATATGCACTGGCCTCCGTTCCCTGAGAGCACCTCTGTAGGGCCCTAGTTGTATGCCAAACCAGAAGCCTGCCCCTCAGACCAAAGCTCCTGGACAAGCATATAAGTTTCTTTCATGGAAAGTCTTGGGGGTATATTTCAGTATGCTATCTGTGCAGTACCCCAGGGATGATAATCTGCCAAGAATTATCTCTCCAATTGTTATGAGTCCTGTGGGACCCAGGATCACAAGCTCCCCTGGTCTCCAGAGCCGGGTGATCAAGGTGGGGTCTGCTGGGTGGCAGCTGAAAAAACTGGGGCACCAGACGCATGTAAGAGCACCCCTCCAGGCGATACTGGTGCTCTGGAGTGTGACAGAGGGAGAGTGTAAATATGGCACCCACAGAATGGAATGAGGCAGAAGAAGAGCATATAGATGGCACCTGCCAGGAAAAAAAAAAAAGATGATGCCTGCCAACTGGCACATGAAGATGGCACCTGCTGGCTGGAATGAGACAGAGGGAGAACACATAGATGGTGCCACAGAAAAAATGAGAAAAAAAAAAGCCTAGCATTTAAAAAGAAAAAAAAAATATTGTGCCTGCTGGCTAGAATGAAGCAGAGGGAAGGAGTGAAGATGGTGCCTGCCACCTAGCAGGCCCCTCATTGTGTGCTAAATTACGTGCCTGCCCCTCAGGCCAATGATTTAAGATGAGCCAAAGGAGTTCTCATTCACATAAAGTCTGGGCATCTCTTGATTGGCTCCCTTTCTGCTGAGCCCTGGGATGTGTGAGTCCAAGTGTGCACAAGCTCTTTAAGAGCCATTTCTTAGACCATTAGAGCCTTGTGGTTCTGGTGGAAAGGAGCCCCCTTGGTTTTCAAAGCTAGATGTTTTGAGGGCTGATCTCTCAGGTGCAGGTCTTAAAAGTTGAGGTGCTCCATGTGGGGTTCAAGCTGTTTGCTCCTCTTGGAGAAGCTCCTGTTTTTGAGTTCCCTCCCGATTGTGGGTCTCCATGCTGGCAATGCAGTTCATGGTGAAATTGTGTCTCAGCTTCTCCTACCCATGTTGATGTGGGCCTTCTCTCATTTGCTCTATGCATAGGAGTCACTCAGACAGTTTTTAGGTTTTTTTCAGAGGACGTTGTTCCATGTTACCTGTAGATTTGGTGTATCTGTAGGAGAAGATAAGCCTAGGATCCTCCTACGTTGCCATCTTGAACCATAACTTTAAATGTATTTTTTTAATATGATGCTGTATGAAACAATTTAGATGAATTCCCTGGATAAAAACAAAATCTTCAGTTATGGATATGAAATTTCAGTATATGAAATTTTAGGTGCTCATCAAGGAACTAAAACACCACCACAAACTCAGAAACATCTTGCTATTCACTACTCCCAATAATAGTCATCTTTTCCAAAAAATATTCTCCTTCTCCTCCCCAACTCCTCAGGCGTGGACCTTTAGAGACATTCTCTATATAAAATCTGAAGATAATATCCCTTGAATTCTTTCTCTTCATTGGTCTAAACTGATTTTATCTCATTACTTTGTAACTGAATAACTTTGGAAATCTCCTTGATATCTACACATCACTAGTCTCTCATTCCTCTAATCACATCTTATTCTTGCACTGAGAAGGATCTATTTGACCATAGGCTTTCAGTATCTGTCTGTCTTGTTAAGAAACCTTAATTCAAGTGCAATACATTTGCAGACTTTCATGAAACTTATTGCACCCTTCCCCTTTTTAGGGTCATTTGGTTTTGGTATCTGTTACCCCCTGGTTCACCAAGCTCACCTGGCTGACTAATCATCTGTATTCTTTTTTCCTCTTCGTTCCGTGTGTTTTCCTTCCAAAATTTCACCAAGTTCAAAGTGAACTGCCTTACCACGTACAAGTCGTATCACACTGCCAGGGCCAGCATTCCCTACTTTTACTTTTCTCCCACACTTTACTTCTGTCTTCTTCTTTTCTGACTATGCTACCAAACTTATTGTCTTTTGCTTAAGTATTTGCTTCTACTTCTGTAGGGTCGTACATGTTGGAGCTCCCAACACTTCAAGTGCCTGCTTTCCTTTAAAATCAGTCTTAAAACACGGTTACTCCCTCTTTTAATTAACATTTATTCTGTTTCCTAAATTCTTTTATGCTACTCTTGCACATTATTTATATTCATTACTTTTTATTTTATCCTGAGTTGAATATAGTTTGTATTTCTGTTTTTGTTGATGACTCCTCAGGGTTGTGCCTGGTCTTGTTTGCATTTGTGTCCTCTTGAGGTGAAGCACAGAGGAAGAGTGGGCATAGGAAGAAAAATTGCACCTATATGATATCTGCCTTCTCATTTTGGTAGGTGCTGGCTCTTTCTTGGACCAATCCAGCTGTGATAACAATGATTTTGAGGAATTAGAAATTCCTTACCAAGATTTCCTCATTCCAGTTTCAGCCTTTGAATATTGAAATTTGAAATTAAACTGAAAAACTAATTAATGATTTTTCAAAATTATAAATTGAAAATATTAAAGATACATCTGGATCTTGATATTTTTTGATATATATATGTTTGAAACCTTATTTGAAGATTAAAGGTTTATTATTTATTCTTTATTCATCTAACAGAGAAATATGTAGGAGGGTCTCCTAACTGATTTGTGTGGTGATGGGGAGGGTCAGGAGAATAAAGTAAAATAACTTGAAGGATGAGTAGAGATTAGGAAGGCAAAATAGTAAGGCCAAATCCTTGGAGATAGTGGTAGGGAGTGGGGGATAGAGATGAGATAGGAGGAATAGGCCAGGTATAAGGAATCACTCCAACAGAGGCTTAGTAGTGACTGCTAAAAGTGAGAATGGGAGTTAGCAGAGATTAGGCTAGACAGGAAAATTTGCCAGATTTTGAAGGGCTGATTTAAAAAGTTACCCATATTAACCCAAGGAAAGATTTAAAGAATGGGAGTAACATTATCTTCACATGAATGGGTAAGACAAGAATTTAAGCAATTCTTGTTCAGATTAAAACCAATAACTTTTGCTAAATGATTTGAGTAATTTATGGGTGCGTGTGTGCTTGTGTACGTGGGGGTGTGTGTGTGTGTTTCCTTGTTCTGAATGCTATTCACATTTATACTATTTTGGTGCTTTGAGTGCTTAAGTAGTATTTCATTTTATAACCATAGTTAAGGTAACAGAATTTTAGAGCTGTAGAATACTTTAAAAATTATCTAAATCAAACTTATATTTTTCAGATGTGAAAATCAAGGATTATTGAAGTTAGGTAAATTTTCATATGTTGTATAGCTAGTAGATAGCAGAGTGAGGATTTGTACCAGCTTTGTATGATTCCAATGCTCTTAACCAGTATATCATCCCGCAAAATCAATAATTGGTACACTTCAGACATGATTTTTTCAAACTGTTTTATTAATATATTTTTATTTTGCAACTTATGCTACTATATACATATCGTAATTTACAAAGTCAAGGTCTTATTAGCATAAACTGCAATATACATATCTCAACTTTTACAAAATGTAGTGATTACTAAATAGACCATAGATCGTGGTAAATTGCTCAGTTAGCTGCATGTACAAGAATTCCTTTCCATTGACTGGAAAGGGAGCAAAAGAGGCCTAAATGGTTTCGTTGTTTTCATGGAAATCTACATCAAGGTCAAATTCCATGAAAGTCTTTATATGGCTATAGAATATATAGAGTTTATAAAATGTATATAGAGTTTATGCCAATAAACCAAGTTTCTGAAAAACTTTATTAAAAAGCTATCAAGAAGTAAAACAAGACATAAAATATGCTTTAAGAATGTACAAATGTTAGATTTAAAATGTTCCAGGTTGCTAGGAGATTGGACCTTAAATTTACACTAAAATATTATGAAAATTGATGACTGCTGCCATTTATATTGTATATTACTATTAGGGTACCTAGTATAATTTGAAGGGACTGTTCATAACCATTCTAAATAGTTTAAGTGGTTACAATGTTAAAAGTCATGTTTTATTATATAGCGACAGTCCAGGTATGATGACTTTTAACAGATCTCTTTTTTGTGGGGGTTTAAAATTTTCCCTGTCAGTCAAATTAGAATTCATTTATTTTTTTAAAAAAAAGAGGGAAAAGAAGGAGGAAGAGTATTATGAATTTTAAAGTGCTTGGGTTAGTGCAAATTTAATTTGTTTCCATTTTCAAACCAGCAGGGGGAACTCAAGGACCAAATTCTTACTTTATGTAGATTTCTCTCTCTATTGAGTGTATATCTTCTGTATGACTTTTTATTGGCCTTTAATGTGAGATTTTTTTCTTAACTTATTAAGTATTGCCAACCTTGGTAGGGAATGCCATATTCAGTAGGTGTTAGTCATATGTTCATGTTTTCGTGCTTTCATAGTCTTCATTCATGCATTTATTATTTACTCAACAAATATTTATTAGGGCCAGGCACTCAGACAGAGTCAGTAGGAAGGATTCTCATAAAATCGTTAAAGAACATAAAGTCAATATACTTAAACTTACACTACAAATTTACACTACAGATTGGAAGATGTTCCAGTTCCTTGTGGACATTTTATTGATGCTATCCTGATGCAGCAGCTCTGTTTTGCCCATGTGACATTCTAGGTGGATGTCTTCCATGAAGGTGAGATTATGTTAGTGTTGGCCATGGGACCAAAAGGGAAGTAGTTGATCCATCTACTTTCCATAGAAGAATTTTCCCTGATTTTTTTTCTAATTGCAACTTTGCTCTCCTCTCACCAACCATGAGATTTCTCAATTGCTCACATTATTAATATTGTTTTCATTTTATTCTTTAAAGTCATTAACATAGTCACCTATGTCAGCTCACCATGGAGAACACATTTGAATGTTCTTGTCATGTATTTATCTTCATATCCCCTGCTAAAAGAATGGTACAACATACTAGTTACCAATATGCTAGAGAATTGCAGTTTTATGGGTAATCCGTGTCCATAATTCAACTTCAGCTTATTTTTTCAGCAGAGGGAGCTGTTACACTTCAAGATTGAATTCTGGAGTGACAGCGACAACAATAGGGTTTGAATTAGTACTAAGCCATAGTCCTTAGCCCGATAATTCTTCTGGATTTCACAACTTGAGTTCCTTATAAAACCATATTTAAGTTTAGCCCTTCTCCAGGCACTGGTAATAATTCTGTGTTTAAGAACGGACACTCAAGGTCAGGATTTTATGACCTTAGCGTCAACTTATTCTTGGCATTACTTTATTTTAATACATTGATTCTAGTAATTAAGCTCTAGCTTTGACCTCTTTGATCAAGCCCCTTCTTATATCTGTCTCTAGCAATTAAATCCCTGTGTTTTCATCTGTAAATGAATTTATGCCTTGTTTTCTTGCACATTATGCTAGCTCCTTCTAGCCTAAAATGCTATTTTGAATACTGGGATTTTGCCTTTCATGATTCCTTAAGGTAGAATTCTACAACTTCTGTTAGGCCTCCCTGGTGCAAGAGCCTATCACCTGTACTCCTTCCTATTGCCTACTATTAGATTACTTCCTCTTACTCTCTGTGTACTTTGCCTATTGGATGGGACTTCGGCCATTTGTAGACTGCCAAGTTTCTCTGCTACTCTGTCTGGATTACCTCCCCCTTCCTGCTGTTTAGAATTTCCCTGATTGACATCTCCACTTCAAAGGGCTGTCTAATCTCTGGTTCTCTGCATACTGACTATCAGCAGTGTAACCCATCCTTAATCTGAGTTTCTGTTTTTATGGTAGTTACCTGAAACCTCTGTGTAAAGATTGGCTAGTTCTGGAAATGCAAAGGACCAACCAAGCCTGATGAATACAACTCCATGTGGTGTTTAGGTTTAGAAACATTCAGAAGGACATTTATTTGAGTCAAACTTGTATATTACATAAAGGACACAGAAAATTGTAAAAGCAACTTAAGTAACTAAAAACTACTCTGTTTGTTCTCTTATTTTTTTAGTAGTTTTTAGAGAACTAAATCCAAAGAGACAAGAAAGGAATAAAAGCACCTGTTAGTTCATGGTAAATTATTACATTTTAAGAGATTAACCCATAAATGCAGTTTATCTCCTATACTAATATATTATGACTTTTCAAAATTATGGAAAACATGACGTGATTCATTAGCATAGTAGTTAACATTTCAAATTGGTAAAGATGGGCTTCTTTAGTAAAACAATACTGCAAGAGTCTTTTTCTTAATGAACCATAGGCTAACACAGGAGATATTTCACTTAAAGAATAGGGCATAGCTAAAGTACCTTATTGAGAATATCACAGATAGGTCTTTTATTTAGTTAAGTGTCAGTTTAGCTGCCTTACAGCACAGCATCTGAATAAACCAGAGTACTTTTAGGTCAACCGATTTTGTTTATAGTTTGTCTTTAATAAAGACTGATTCCTTTCTTAAAGGGAAACTCATATTTCTGATTTCATATTTTCCTTTTTCAAAGAAAGGGCTTATATTATTGTTTTCATACAAAATAAAACTTTGATTGAGGTGTATTCCTACGTAGCTATTGGACCTGTAGTTTATGGGCCTCCTATCATTAGAGTCATCGCAGTGTAACATTTAAGATTGTATGATAGATAAACTGTGAGAATTCCAAATGGTGCAGTAATTTCCTAAATTAAAATTTTATCTAATTATCAAGTTGTGTATCATAGATAGTAAATTAATGATAAATTGTCATTCAATTAATGATTCTATTTTATTAGAAGCCATATTTGTTTTCTGTGTTATTTTCAAAGTGACAATTGTAAGCAATCTTATATTCATATTATGTGTCAACTCATACTATAAATTTTATGAATTGCCAGCCATACTTCTGTATATGCTTCCAAAATATGGCTTTTGGTTAATGATTTGTAGATGATTATTTAGAATGTGTTGTAAAGCCATAAGTCTATTTGGATGAAAGGACTTTATAAAAACAAACAAAGAAAAGATAATCTCATTCCTCCTGTGCACTTTCTTCAGCGCTGCCAGTGATCCTTCTAACATAGAAATCTGATCATGTCATTTTCCTACTCAAAATTATTCAGTGGTTGCTTATTGTCTATATTATTAAATATTAATTCTCTAACATATAACAAACTCTGTGATTTGATCCTTGTCTCCTAATTCAGCCTATTTCCTGCCATTTCTCCTATCTTTTTCTAACCAAATCATTCTGCTTCCTTTGCCTTTAAAACCTCATGCTGTCTTTTAAAGCTTTAGAATATTTTTAGAAAAATAATATTTGAAAGATAGCTTTAAATGTTCAGATAACCAGCTATAAATGTGTTTACCCTCTAAAATGAAAACTGTAAAAATAATGAGGTTATATGAGCTCCTGGTTGGTGATACACATTAGGGGTCAGTTACTAGAGATGGTAGTCAAAATTCTGGTAATTACAATTATGGACATGAGTTTCAGCTGCAAAGTGTAAAGCAGAGACCCAAAGGCTGTAATTTGGAGAATGAAGCATTGAACTGTGAGAGAAAAATGATAATTTTGTAAGTTAGGGTTCTTAGCTGCAAATAGCACAAAACAAAGGATGTAACACAGCTGAGATTCTGCCCTAGTAATAGTCTACTTCGGGTACTACCACAAGTGCCATTGCTAGTGGATGCTCTCAGTTATTGTCACTGACCCTTCTTCCTCTGGAAACTACTGCTATGAGTCTAGTCTCTTAATAAGTGGTGATATAAAAAGATGGATTATTCAGTAGATGGTGTTGGGACAACTAGACAGCCATCTGGATAAAAAAAATTAAAACGTATTCCTACTCTGTACCATAAGTTCCATACACATCAAAGTTTTATTTATTTATTTATTTATTTATTTATTTTGAGGAAGATTAGCCCTGAGCTAACTGCTGTCAATCCTCCTCTTTTAGCTAAGGAAGACTGGCCCTGAGCTAACATCTTTACCCATCCTCCTGTACTTTATTTGTGGGACACCTACCACAGCATGGTCTGCCAAGCGGTGCCATGTCTACATCTCTGGAATCCGACCGGAGAACCCCAGGCCACCGAAGCAGAATGTGCGCACTTAACTGCTGCGCCACTGGGCCAACCCCTAGATCAAAGTTTTAAACATTTAGAGAATGAAACCATAAAAGCACAAGGAGAAGACATGAATGAATACGGTATTTAAAAATATATGCTCTTGGAATGCAGAAGATGCTCAGGGATGACCAGAAAAACCAGAAATCATAACAAGAAAGATGGATAAATTTTACTATAGGAAAAAAATTAAAAACAAAAAGAAAAGATACCTAAAATTTAAAATAAAATGAATCAAATTGAACCTCAAAGTGTTTCCAACTGGTGGCATAATCACACAGAGTGGAAGTATTCCAAGTGACTTGAAACAGCAGTTAGACTGTACATCCCTACTGACGTATACCCTATAGAAAAAAGAACTGAAAAAACAAACTTTAAAAACTGTTTACCAAAGTCATATTGTTGGTAGTAATATTAGTATTGTTATTCTGAGACTGTTATGTGTGGATTGTGAATTTTTAAAAAAATGAGCAAATAAGTAGTATTCTAATTTTATCTTCATGGTCCTCTTTGAGAACCAGGCATGGGAGAAAGTAAATATGAATATAAGATGAAGGGGTTAAGTTAAAACCCTATAGTACTGAATTTGAATTAAAAGTATCAATAGAACTCATGATGACTTTTCTCTTTAAAAATAAAATAAATTTTTCCTAGCTCTATCAAATGAAAATGCCTAGAAACAAACATCAGTCCAATAGGAATGAACATCCTTAGTGCCCAGGTTATGGTCTTGAAATGCATTTTCCATGAAAAACAACCAGGGATCCTTTAAGAAATGGTTGATTACAGATCTGGAAAGGGCAGAAAACAAGGCTATGTGCATAGAATATTCTAGAAGGATACAGAGAAAAACTGATAATAATGGTGATTTCTGGACAGAATTGAGTGGCTGGGTAACATGGTAGATAGTATACTTTTTACAGTAGACTTATTTCCTTTTTTTAATATTGTGTGTTCTGTATTTATTTTCAGAATGATAAAGTCATTAAAAATTATTTGGAGAGAAATTCTTGCTCATTGTTATAGTCTGCCTATAATATATACAGTATACAGCTTATACTATAGCATATATACTATATATAGTATATACTATAGTATAGTATGCCTATACCATATATTGGTATATAGTAATATGCCTGAAAGAGCATATTACTTGGGGGGTGGGGTTGACAGGATTTACCCATATAATGTGATAGCAAAATGGTGTAGTGTCATATGTGTGTTTTAAAGTGTAGTTATTAACTTCTTTTTAGAGTCTACAAAAGTGAGCTGTGCCTTCTAATAGGTTACCACCTGAGTAGTATGAGAAAAAAAATGGATAATTTATCATGAAGCTTTGGGAATCAAATGATTAATAATTAAAATTTCCTTTGCTAATTCATCAAGTGGTATTTTAGAAGCATAAAAATAGTGTCCTATTTCTGAATTTGAAGAATAGACTGATTCCTTTACCTAGGCATTCATGTATTCAATAAATATTTGCTTTTTTGAACACTGTGGAAATATTGGTGACAAGGTGGACATGACCTCTGCATTCATAATCTTATGGTCTTATGGTCTAATGGGAAAAATAGATT